ACAAATCTCACCTGAGCTGATTTTTAGGACACCAGAAACACCAAAAAGAGAAAATTCATTCTTGTATTGATAGAAAATTTGAATTATTTCCTCCCTGGGCTCCCAATTGGAGATTAATATGATGTAATTAACTTAATTAATAGAATTAATAGAATTTGTGATGTCCAGCTCTTAGCAAATCTCTGCTGGGGAAAACCGGATAATTAAAAAAAAAAAAAAAAAATCAAATATTGAACTTCATTTGTGTCCATTATTTTATTCTTTATTCTTGCATTTATAAAACCCAAAGCAGCAGCTCCATGGAAAGGAATTTTTAGGATAAAAAAAAAACCCAAAAAAATTAAAAAAAAAAATTCTCCAATTTTGATATGATTGAATTGAATAAATTCCAAATTTCTCATGATAAAAAATACATTTATTTAGGGGGTTTTTTTTGGTTTTTTTTTTCTGCTGATTTCTCTCTGTGTGTCCTTGCAGGATTCATGAATAAAATCTTCCACCCCAACATTGATGAAGCGTGAGTAAAAACCCTTTCCCAAATTTCCAAAAAAATTCCAAATTTTTCCCTCGTTTTTTTTTTTTTTCAGTCCTGTTGATCTCCCTGCGCTTCCATTGCACTCAAATTCCAATTTCTTTTCTCGTGGGGAAACTTTGGGGGAGAATTTATATTTTTTTTTTTTATTTCCCAGGGTGTTTTCCAGTGTTAATTTGATTTTTTTTCCTGTTTTTCAGGTCAGGAACTGTTTGTTTAGATGTAATCAATCAAACCTGGACAGCTCTCTATGGTGAGTTGAGCATTTTTCCTCTGCCTTAAATTAAATTTCAGGCCACTTTTTATTTTATTTTATTTTATTTTTTTAAAGTTTTTACTGAATTTGAAATTCCTCCCTCAGGCGAGATGTGGAGAGGAAAAGAAGATTTTTTTTTTTTTTTTTAAACAGTGTCACTGTTGTTACTTTATTTATTTCTTTCTTTTTATTTCTTTTTATTTCTATTTCTATTTATTTCTATTTTTTTCTATTTATTTCTATTAATTTCTATTAATTTCTATTGATTTCTATTGATTTCTATTTATTCCTATTTATTCCTATTGATTTCTATTAATTTCTATTAATTTCTATTAATTTCTATTTATTTCTATTGATTTCCATTGATTTCTATTGATTTCTATTGATTTCTATTCATTTCTATTCATTTCTATTGATTTCCATTGATTTCTATTGATTTCTATTAATTTCTATTAATTTCTATTTATTTCTATTTATTCCTATTGATTTCCATTGATTTCTATTGATTTCTATTGATTTCTATTGATTCCTATTTATTCCTATTAATTCCTATTAATTTCTATTTATTTCTATTTATTTCTATTAATTTCTATTGATTTATATTTATTTATATTGATTTCTATTAATTTCTATTTATTCCTATTGATTTCTATTGATTTCTATTTATTCCTATTGATTCCTATTGATTTCTATTAATTTCTATTTATTCCTATTGATTTCTATTGATTTCTATTGATTTTTTTTATTTATCTTGATTTCTGTTTTTTGATTTCTATTGATTTCTGTGACAGCTCTGCATTGCCTGGATGGTTTGGGGTTGGAGCTGGTTTAATGAATTCATTAATTCATTAATGAATTCATTAATTAATGATTTGGGCTTGGAAGGAGCTCAGGGATTGGGAGAGGAAAGAATTCAGGAATTTCTTTG